TATCACATATCACATATTCAGACATCTATCTCTGTATCACATATCACATATTCAGACATCTATCTCTGTATCACATATCACATATTCAGACATCTATCTCTGTATCATATCACATATTCAGACATCTATCTCTATCTCTGTATCATATCACATATTCAGATATCTATCTCTGTCACATATCACATATTATCTATCTCTGTATCATGCATATCACATATTCAGATATCTATCTCTGTATCACATATCACATATTCAGATATCTATCTCTGTATCATATCACATATTCAGATATTCTGATCTCATATCATATTATCTATCTCTATCACATATCACATATTCAGACATCTATCTCTGTATCTCATATCACATATTCAGATATCTATCTCTGTATCACATATCACATATTCAGATATCTATCTCTGTATCATATTCATATCACATATTCAGATATTTATATCTGTATCACATATCACATATTCAGACATCTATCTCTGTAGCTCATATATCACATATCAGACATCTATCTCTGTATCAAATATCACATATTCACATATTCAGACATCTATCTCTGTATCACATATCACATATTCATACTCAGATATCTATCTCTGTATCTCATATCACATATTCAGACATCTATCTCTGTATCTCATATCACATATTCAGATATCTATCTCTGTATCACATATCACATATTCAGACATCTATCTCTGTATCTCATTTCACATATTCAGATATCTATCTCTGTATCACATATCACATATTCAGATATCTATCTCTGTATCAAATATCACATATTCAGATATCTATCTCTGTATCACACATCACATATTCAGATATCTATCTCTGTTTCTCATATCACATATTCAGATATTTATATCTGTATCACATATCACATATTCAGACATCTATCTCTGTAGCTCATATCACATTATCAGACATCTATCTCTGTATCACATATCACATATTCAGACATCTATCTCTGTATCACATATCACATATTCAGATATCTATCTCTGTATCACATATCACATATTCAGACATCTATCTCTGTATCTCATATCACATATTCAGATATCTATCTCTGTATCACATATCACATATTCAGACATCTATCTCTGTATCTCATTTCACATATTCAGATATCTATCTCTGTATCACATATCACATATTCAGATATCTATCTCTGTATCAAATATCACATATTCAGATATCTATCTCTGTATCACATATCACATATTCAGACATCTATCTCTGTATCTCATATCACATATTCAGATATCTATCTCTGTATCTCATATCACATATTCAGATATCTATCTCTGTATCACATATCACATATTCAGATATCTATCTCTGTATCTCATATCACATTTTCAGATATTTATCTCTGTATCACATATCACATATTCAGATATCTATCTCTGTATCTCACATCACATATTCAGATATCTATCTCTGTACCACATATCACATATTCAGATATCTATCTCTGTATCACATATCACATATTCAGATATCTATCTCTGTATCTCATATCACATATTCTGATATCTATGTCTGTATCAAATATTACATGTTCAGACATTTATCTCTGTATCACATATCACATATTCAGACATCTATCTCTGTATCACATATCACATATTCAGACATCTATCTCTGTATCACATATCACATATTCAGACATCTATCTCTATCACATATCACATATTCAGACTTCTATCTCTGTATCACATATCACATATTCAGACATCTATCTCTGTATCACATATCACATATTCAGACATCTATCTCTGTATCACATATCATATTCAGACATCTATCACATATTCAGACATCTATCTCTGTATCACATATCACATATTCAGACATCTATCTCTGTATCACATATCACATATTCAGACATCCATCTCTGTATCACATATCACATATTCAGACATCTATGTCTGTATCACATATCACATATTCAGACATCTATCTCTGTATCTCATATCACATATTCAGATATCTATCTCTGTATCTCATATCACATATTCAGACATCTATCTCTGTATCACATGCATATCAAATATTCAGATATCTATCTCTGTATCACATATCACATATTCAGATATCTATCTCTGTATCACATATCACATATTCAGACATTTATCGCTCTATCACATATCACATATTCAGACATCTATCTCTGTATCTCATATCACATATTCAGATATCTATCTCTGTATCACACATCACATATTCAGATATCTATCTCTGTTTCTCATATCACATATTCAGATATTTATATCTGTATCACATATCACATATTCAGACATCTATCTCTGTAGCTCATATCACATTATCAGACATCTATCTCTGTATCACATATCACATATTCAGACATCTATCTCTGTATCACATATCACATGTTCAGATATCTATCTCTGTATCACATATCACATATTCAGACATCTATCTCTGTATCTCATATCACATATTCAGATATCTATCTCTGTATCACATATCACATATTCAGACATCTATCTCTGTATCTCATTTCACATATTCAGATATGTATCTCTGTATCACATATCACATATTCAGATATCTATCTCTGTATCAAATATCACATATTCAGATATCTATCTCTGTATCACATTTCACATATTCAGATATCTATCTCTGTATCACATATCACATATTCAGATATCTATCTCTGTATCTCACATCACATATTCAGATATCTATCTCTGTATCTCATATCACATATTCAGATATCTATGTCTGTATCAAATATTACATGTTCAGACATCTATCTCTGTATCACATATCACATATTCAGATATCTATCTCTGTATCACATATCACATATTCAGATATCTATCTCTGTGTCTCATATCACATATTCAGATATCTATCTCTGTATCTCATATCACATATTCAGATATCTATCGCCCTATCAGATATCACATATTCAGACATCTATCGTTTTATCACATATTCAGATATCTATCTCTTTATCACAAATCACATATTCAGACATCGATCTCTGTATTACATATCACATATTCAGACAACTATCGCTCTATTACATATTCAGACATCTATCTCTGTATCTCATATCACATATTCAGATATCTATCTCTGTATCACATATCACATATTCAGATATCTATCTCTGTATCACATATCACATATTCAGATATCTATCTCTGTATCTCATATCACATATTCAGATATCTATCTCTGTATCAAATATCACTAATTCAGATATCTAACTCTGTATCACATATCACATATTCAGATATCTATCTCTGTATCAAAAATCACATATTCAGATATCTATCTCTGTGTCTCATATCACATATTCAGATATCTATCTCTGTATCTCATATCAGATATTCAGATATCTATCGCTCTATCAGATATCACATATTCAGACATCTATCGTTTTATCACATATTCAGACATCTATCTCTGTATCACAAATCACATATTCAGACATCGGTCTCTGTATTACATATCACATATTCAGACAACTATCGCTCTATTACATATTCAGACATCTATCTCTGTATCTCATATCACATATTCAGATATCTATCTCTGTATCACATATCACATATTCAGATATCTATCTCTGTATCACATATCACATATTCAGATATCTATCTCTGTATCTCATATCACATATTCAGATATCTATCTCTGTATCAAATATCACATATTCAGATATCTATCTCTGTATCACATATCACATATTCAGATATCTATCTCTGTATCACATATCACATATTCAGATATCTATCTCTGTGTCTCATATCACATATTCAGATATCTATCTCTGTATCTCATATCACATATTCAGATATCTATCGCTCTATCAGATATCACATATTCAGACATCTATCTCTGTGTCATATCTCACATGTTCAGACATCGATCTCTGTATTACATATCACATATTCAGACATCTATCTCTCTATCACATATCACATATTCAGACATCCATCTCTGTATCAAATATCACATATTCAGACATCTATCTCTGTGTCATATCTCACATGTTCAGACATCGATCTCTGTATTACATATCACATATTCAGACATCTATCTCTGTATCTCATATCACATATTCAGACATCCATCTCTGTATCAAATATCACATATTCAGACATCTATCTCTGTGTCATATCTCACATGTTCAGACATCGATCTCTGTATTACATATCACATATTCAGACAACTATCGCTCTATTACATATTCAGACATCTATCTCTGTATCTCATATCACATATTCAGATATCTATCTCTGTATTACATATCACATATTCAGACATCTATCTCTGTATCACATATCACATATTCAGACATCTATCTTTGTATCACATATCACATATTCAGACAACTATCGCTCTATTACATATTCAGACATCTATCTCTGTATCACATATCACATATTCAGACGTCTACCACTGTATCACATATAAAATATACTACTTCACTTTACCCGGGCAATCATTCTGTTGAAAGAAAACTGTTTCTCTATAACATCCTTTTTTGACATTGTATACGACCGTTCTGTATGTTACACTCAGGGGCAACCCATCTACAATAGTATCCTGCGTCATCTTAATGTTGAACTGCAACAGATTCATGTCAATTTCGTACACGGTTCTTCACACGATCTTGACGATGGCAAGTTGGATGTATATTAATTACTCCGCTAATTTAAAATCTTAACATGTGTCAGATCACACAATGAGACAAATAATGTGAAGCCGATTCTCCTACTGCCTGTGGGGGTAACCCCTCCACCCATCCCATCCCCTTCCAAACACAGGATTCTGTTACTCCTCCACCATTCGTCACACATGGATTGCATGGAAATAAATATATCTGAGTTTAACAACTTTCTCGACTTTCCAAATGACATTTCCGTTGAAGCACTGTAGTCCATGTTCAACAAGGGATGGTTGCATTAAGCGGTTCAAGAGTGGGACTATATATTTACCTCTGTCCTGCTCTTGTCAGCCATCTTGAATCCTTGTTCCACAGATCAAGTTAACCTGTTTTGGTATAGTCATTCACTGTGACGGCTACACAGTGAACGGCTAGAATGTCGACACTGTGCTATGATGCAGTCCATATGCCGTGAAGGTTTGTCGGTGTGTTAGTTTGTTGTTCTCCGCCGCACTCAGCAATATTCCAGCTATTTGGCGGAGGTCTGTAAATAATCGAGTCTAAACCAGACAAGCCAGTGATCAACAGCATGGACATCGATCTACGCAACTGGAATGCGATGACATGAGTCAACCAAGTCAGCGAGCCTTACAACCCGATCCCGTTAGTCACCTCTTACGACAAGCACCATCCTTTGAGACAAAGAAGAGAAGTTCAGGCCAACCAGACATCAGTTACCCCATCACCTACATCTCAACCTTTACCCTGCTATAATCACATGCTATGGTCACCGTCGTTGATGTCCGGCTGGACACGGAGGATGTGATCGTTGATGTCCGGCTGGACACGAAGGAAGTGATCGTTGATGTCCGGCTGGACACGAAGGAAATGATCGTTGATGTCCGGCTGGACACGAAGGAAGTGATCGTTGATGTCCGGCTGGACACGAAGGAAATGATCGTTGATGTCCGGCTGGACACGAAGGAAATGATCGTTCTTGTCCGTAATGTAGTGTTTCTTTTGGAAGTCGATCACGGAACGGGTGATTTCCGCTAAATAATTTCAAGGAATGTTTCCAAGCTGTTTCTTTAAAAAACATTAAATCAGCAACAAAATCACAATCATATTTCTCAGTTGAATTGCCCTTTTCAGTCGATACCGTTGAAAGAGAAAAAACCCACATACTTGTTAGTTAGTATCAGTTCGTATAAACGGACACGCCAAACAGAAGTACAAGGAATTTGCCTACTTCAACTTACGTTTTCAAAATTGACATCAATATCGATCTACAGACCTACAAAGCTCGACGTTTTGAGTGGATTTGCGTTTCAGAAGTTATGGGGGATTTTATACGTGTGTTCTTCCTTTTACTATATCAATAAATCATCTTCCCTTTATCGTCAAAGTAACATCCCATTAATTCCACATGAAACTAAGTAGAGTAATATAAAATTGCATTTTTACGTGCCATGAATTACCGTTTATGTGTATAATCCAATTACAGCAAGCAACACATGTTACAGCTCAAAGATATATAATGTCCACCTCATTAGCAGTCATGACATTCTTTCTATTGCATTGTAATGTATTATTCTTTTAATTACATACGCTGATAAATGTTGACGCAGGTAATCACATTGTACGTTGTTCAGTTCAGGCGATACATCGAAAATGAAAGAATCATACAGAGATGAGACAATTGCTGACAGAATCATTTTCTGGGGAGAGACAGATTCAGACAAGCCTGCCTTTATTTTCTAATCTAGTTTTCTAGTCCTAACGGTAGGCATGTCCTCTCGCGGGGGTGGGGGGTGGGGGTGGGGTGTCCTGGAACTGGCCAGCAGATTCGCCCTCAGGCTGACCCAGCAGGGCGTCCAGCCGGGGGACGTGGTGTGTGTTTGTCTTCCGAACAGTCCGGAGAGGGTCGTGGTGGACTTTGGAGTACAGCTGACAGGTGCTGTGTCAATGAATGGACGGATTCTACGTTCAGATTGTCAAGATATTCTTGAATCAATGCGCAAAGCAAAATGTAAAGTTTTAGTTATTGACCCAGATGAGACCAGTCAGGCATGGAAGATGTGCAGGAACCATGTCAAGCTAGTATCCGAAGACCCACATATGCCTACTGCCACGAGTGTGGCCGTCCCAACACTCACAAACATTGCATTTTGTAAAACCAGAAAACCGGATTCTGCATTCCTAAAAACGCTTCCTCCAAGAACAGACAGAGCCCCAAACAACCCGAAACAAAAGCCCACTGATGTTGCCTACATATTTGCAACCTCTGGTACCACCGGATACAGTAAGCTTGTCCAGCATACTAATAGATCTTTGATGGTTATGTCTTTCAGGCTGTCGGAAGCTACCGGGATGAAAGACAAGCATTGTAAAAGCTTTAGTGCTGCCCCCCTTGGATGGATTGGGGGCTTTCTAGCATATTACCTTTTTTCAGGTTGTCCCCTAGCATTGGTAGACGACACAGCTGAAGCTGTGGCCGATAGGCTGCAGTATATTTGGGGTGTGGCCTGTAAAGAAGACATCACAGTTTGTACCCTTGCGTCGTTCCAGTTTATGGGTATTTTTGGAAGGAAGGACATCTGTGAATCTTCATGTAAGAAACTTCCAATGATTGTTACTGGTGGACAGCCTCTACACAAGGAGTATCTTCAAACCATAGGGAAGCTGGCGGATTCTTTATTTGGCTTGTATGCCTCCACGGAGGTCGGGTACGCGGCTGGAATTGCTTTTAGTACGTCGAATCTGGGATGCTGTAAGGAAAACATGGCAGGTGCTCTCGCTCCTGGGGTGGAGGCCAAAATAGTTGATTCCAATTAGGCCAGCGTAGGAATGGAAACACGTGGAGAAATTCTCATACGTACAGAGACAATTACTGCAGGGTATGTTGATGCGCCCGATAAACAGGCAGCCATTCTGCCAGAAGGTTGGTTCAGAACAGATGATGTTGGGTACATGGACGACAAAGGCTGTCTGTTTGTAGAAGGAAGACGTTCTGACGCCATCATGCACGGCCCCTACATCGTCTACCTAACATGGCTCGAAGAAAAGCTTGCCAAATGTCCTGGGGTTAAGCAGAACTATTTTGTACCAGTTCCTGACAGGGTTCTGCATCACGAGATTTGTGCCTGTGTGCAACTGGAGGAAGGTGTCCGTCTTACCGAGGAGGATGTCATAAATTTTATCAGGGGCGACATCGTTGACGGCGTAAGGTCGGACATGGATGTTGTTCCAAAGAATGTGTTATTCTTTGATACGTTTCCTATCACAAAGACGTTTAAATTGGATCGAAATGAACTCACCAGGTCTGCCCAGCTGATGCTGCAGCTCGAGTAGACGTCAGAAGATGTTTATACTGTCAGGAGAATAGAGGTGTAAGCTTTTCAGCTAATAACTATAATTTGCATTTGGTGCAGATTTTGGTGCGGATTTTATATACGTATCAGTGTATGCTTATTTCTCGTAGACTTGCTGTAGTGGTGCGATGGTGAGAGGTGAGCTGTTTTAAACGTGTACATAATGTGATTGAGTGAGTATGGTTTTACGCTGCTATTAACAATAATCCAACAACAGCAGGGCGGAAGACACTAGAAATGGGCTTGACATACTGCATCGGTGTGGGGCATCGAACCAGAGTGGTTGTGACGAGAGAACACTTTAAACGCAAGGCTACCCCACGGTCCCACATATGTAATGTACTGAATCGTGAAATCTGCTGACACATCACACACCTCTCGAATGCTAAATAAAGGGAGTCAGCACGCTCTGCATATACAGAGTGAGTGAGTTTAATTTTACGCCGATTTTAACAATATTCCAGCAATATCACGGCGGGAGGCATCAGAAATGAGCATCACATGTTGTACCCATGTGGGGAATCGAACCCGGATCTTCGGCGTGACGAGCGAACGCTTTAACCACTAGGCTACTGGTTTATACAGATAACTTGCTTGTCTTCAGTCAAAGCCCAAAGGACTGAAATGAATTCCTGCATTATGTAATGACAGTATTAGAAATTGTAACATTTGTATCACTTGTGATGTAACGATTATGTTATCCAAAGGGTTTTGATTTCTATTAAACCATAGAGGAACCACTATTGTTTCAGCTATTAAATCATAGAGGAACCACTATTGTTTCAGTTAATAAACCATAGAGGAACCACTATTGTTTCAGCTATTAAACCATAGAGGAACCACTATTGTTTCAGCTATTAAATCATAGAGGAACCACTATTGTTTCAGCTATTAAACCATAGAGGAACCACTATTGTTTCAGCTAATAAATCATAGAGGAACCACTATTGTTTCAGTTATTAATAAATCATAGAGGAACCACTATTGTTTCAGCTAATAAACCATAGAGGAACCACTATTGTTTCAGCTATTAAATCATAGAGGAACCACTATTGTTTCAGCTAATAAATCATAGAGGAACCACTATTGTTTCAGCTATTAAATCATAGAGGAACCACTATTGTTTCAGCTAATAAATCATAGAGGAACCACTATTGTTTCAGCTATTAAATCATAGAGGAACCACTATTGTTTCAGCTATTAAATCATAGAGGAACCACTATTGTTTCAGCTATTAAATCATAGAGGAACCACTATTGTTTCAGCTTTCAGCTATTGTTTAAATCATAGAGGAACCACTATTGTTTCAGCTAATAAATCATAGAGGAACCACTATTGTTTCAGCTAATAAATCATAGAGGAACCACTATTGTTTCAGCTAATAAATCATAGAGGAACCACTATTGTTTCAGCTATTAAATCATAGAGGAACCACTATTGTTTCAGCTATTAAACCACAATATCAACGGAAAGAAGTCTGTGTTCTTCATAGAAAGTTTAATAAAAACAAACATATTCTGAAATTCTTGATGCATCTGTAATAGGCTGACATTATGAAAACCCGTTTGACACACTGGAGTTTGTGATCGAGTGAGTGAGTGAGTGAGTTGGGTTTTATGCCGCTTTTTAAAAACGTCTATTAACAGTGACCTTAAACAGCTGCGTTTGTCGATAAATTTCCAACTCTCAATACAATGTGAGAAATTGTTCAATTGTTTCCCATTTGTGCCAACTCCAAATCTCTGAGCAATACAGAATATTTGGCTATATTTGAGAATCACACATTATAAACAGAACTGTGGGAGAAAGATTTGTCAATTTGAAATGCAATTGTTTAATACGAATAAGCGATTTGCCTGCTTTTTTAATGAAACTTTCTCGTGACATTCGAGACATGAATGTATGTTACGTCACTTCGTTTGTTACACGACAACGGGCAGACGTCATTCTGCTGCAACCGATGTTACGTCCTTGACATTGAGTTATATAGCGTTGCTATGACGTCCCCGTGAAGGTCTGTAGACTGTTGCACAACCATCAGAGTGAGTGAGTATGGTTTTACGCCGCTTTTAGCAATATCCCAGCAATATCACGGAGGGGGGCACCAGAAATTGGCACACATTGTACCCATGTGGGGAATCGAACCCGGGTCTTCGGCGTGATGAGCGAACGCTTTAACCACTAGGCTACCCCACCGCCCGCACAACCATCAGAGCTGTCTATACCAAGCTGGACCCGTGAAGATCCAGGTTAGAATTAGTCTTCAGCCACCCATGCTTGTAAAAGGCGACTATGCTTGTCGTAAAAGGCGACTAACGGGTTTCGGGTGGTCAGGCTCGCTGGCTTGGTTGACACACGTCATCGTATCCAAATTGCGTATATCGATGTCCATGCGGTTGATCACTGGATTGTCTGGTCCAGACTCGATTATTTACAGACCACCGCCATATAGCTGGAATATTGCTGAGTGCGGCGTAAAACAAGAAACCAACCAGCCTATACCAAGCTGGACGGGTCTGAACATTATAGGGTATCACGGGACATCGGGCATGTAAGTTGCCCTAACCTGTTGATTACGACTGTGCCACTAACTCACATCAACATAGGAATTGCCCGAGCTGTTAATGTATCCATTTGGTATCGATTCCTTTTATGCACCAACTGAATATGGTTGTCTTGTTGCCGTGACGTCCCTGCAGATTACGTCTTGGAGATAACATTGTGTCGGAAACTGTCTGGAAACTCCGGAGCCATCTCTGTGTACAGCATTATACCTACCGCGCGGAGCCATCTCTGTGTACAGCATTATACCTACCGCGCGAGGCCATCTCTGTGTACAGCATTATACCTACCGCGCGGAGCCATCTCTGTGTACAGCATTATACCTACCGCGCGGAGCCATCTCTGTGTACAGCATTATACCTACCGCGCGAAGACGTTGGTGTCCAGCAAGTCATGGCATTGTTTTGGCAGTTAAAACGTTTTACAAGCACGTGATAGATTAACAACCATTGTGTACTGTTCACTGTACAAACCCATTTGTCAGTTTCATGTTCCCAACACTCAAACATTCGAACTGAGCGTGCACGAACATGAACCCGCAAATAGAGGATCGCAGAAGTATACCATACATAAAACTTGAAGGTAGAGAAATGGCCTCCGGGCCCCTGATAACAGCATGAGTATCTATCTACGCAAATCCTAACACCATCCAGTCAGTCAGTCAGTCAGTCATAACCCGGACTCGTTCAGGTACACGATTTCAGTGATCGTATTGAGTGAGTGAGTTTAGTTTTACGCCGCACTTCAGCTATTCGAGCTATATGACGGCGGTCTGTAAATAATCGAATCTGGACCAGACAATCCAGGGATCAACAGCTGGTACCCATGGGGATGCCTACATCTTGTTTAAATGCATTTCTGCGTGTGCGTATGTGCATGTCTGTATGTGTGTGCACGTGTGCATGTAAACATGTATGCCTATTTGCCTGTGCGGTGTGTCTGTATGTGTGTGCACGTGTGCATGTAAACATGTATGCCTATTTGCCTGTGCGGGTGTCTGTATGTGTGTGCACGTGTGCATGTAAACATGTATGCCTATTTGCCTGTGCGGTGTGTCTGTATGTGTGTGCACGTGTGCATGTAAACATGTATGCCTATTTGCCTGTGCGGTGTGTCTGTATGTGTGTGCACGTGTGCATGTAAACATGTATGCCTATTTGCCTGTGCGGTGTGTCTGTATGTGTGTGTGTATCATGTATGTGTGTGTCTGTATGTGTGTGCACGTGTGCATGTACATGTATGCCTATTTGCCTGTGCGGTGTGTCTGTATGTGTGTGCACGTGTGCATGTACATGCCTATTTGCCTGTGCGGTGTGTCCATGTGCATCTCTGTGTATGTGTTGGGTGTTCCTCCGAAGAACTATAACATGAACAGAAAGTGGACAATGACTATTCTGATGCAGTTAATAATGAATATATCTGGGGAAAGTATTATACAAGAGGTGTATAAAGTGTCAGATGTTTGCGCCTATTTTGGTTGATGCAAAATGACCACACATTTTGATCTGGTAATATTCGGCGATGACGTTTAATAAATGTTAATATGTAAGTAATTATATAATTATATCTTTTAGCGTTTTCTCAAGTGAGAAGATAAAACCAATTTACAACAGGACACCATGCACGTATACTTTATGGACGCATACATGTAGTCAGTAGTACTTTAATGTTCACTTCCAAACTTACATGTTTATCAGTTACATGGCGCATATGGCGCAAATTAATCAAATATTCCCATACATATAAAGTCATAATGTTTATTATGTTGACGTAATATGAACAGAATCGTTATTTCATGACCTTTTGAAAGTACTTTGCACACTAATCGTTCATCGGAAATAAAACCTACACAATAAACAGGTCAGACACATGTGACTGACAATGTGCACTCGGAACTACTCGGGTGAGTCCGTAGTGAATGGGTCTATTGATCGTTTATTGACGTCTCCGCACAGTATTGATCAATCTGAATAGACGAACAAGCGGTGTAGTCGCGCTGTTTATGTTTAGCGTACTGTCGTCACGCTACGCTGTAACTGAAGAGGGCCAGTGCTGTTAGCCTAGGCGGTGGGATCTGATATCCAAACGTTTATCTGTGAGGTGTACAAGGTAGGTATGGTTAGTTTGGATGTACGTTATCTAATCACGTGACGGGAGAAACACAGGGTTGTCAAAGGCGGATCCAGGAATTTTCAAAGGGGTGGGGTTTGGGGTGGAGCTTGGGGTGGTGTGGTTTTCCCCCTGGATCCGCCAGTGGGTGTTGTAATCATTTAGCCACTTTAAGATGAGATATATACAGACAATTGATCTCGAGCGTGTCGAGTCAAGATTCGTATATTTGAATGTTGTGTTTTATGGGGCGATATTTTACGACATACCACTCGCCGGTATGTCCCAGGCGATTTCTCCCTTCCTCACGAACTTCAATGACACCAACAATATAAGACAGTGATGACAAGGTCGATATTGACGATATACACCCTGACAACATAACGATGACATATTGCCCAAGAAGACGTTTGATTCACACCTTCTCTCACAATTCTCGCAATAAACTAAACTGCGCGTTGAAACGTTCAGTGATCGAAGGGAGATAACTTCAAATGATTTGATACTGATTTACAATCAGATAATCAATGGTGTAGTTCACATGCGCTCCTTGCCAGGCTCGAGTGAATTGTGCGACATTTTTCATTATTGACGGAATATAACAAATTTAAGATATAGGAAACATAACTCACCCGTTAAAATCCAAATATTCAATAGACCAGACTGGACGCGTGAAGTTTAGTGTGAGTGTGTGTGTTTGTGTGTTAACTGTTTGATCCGATTAAATTAGGGCACTTTCTGCATAAATTATCAGAGCGATCTAAAAATTGACTTATGCTACCTGTATACGTAGTTGTAATGCTTGGCCCATTAAGTCATTATGTAAAACACCCCAGACCCTTCTGTCGAATCACTGTTTACCCACTTTAGAAAAGTGGGTGAGTGAATATGGTTTTATGCCGCTTTACACATTGTACGCATGTGGGGATTCGAACCCGGGCCTTCGGTGTAACGAGCGAACGCTTTAACCACGAGGCTGCTCCCACGGCCCACTGTGGAAAAGAGGCTACACTAATAATTCTAAACACGTGGTCCTCAGATATGCCATGTTAGCCAAACATGACGCATAGAAGTGGTGGTAGGGTAGCCTAGTGGTTAAAGCGTTCGCTCGTCACGCCGAAGACCCGGGTTATATTCCCTACATGGGTACAATGTGTGAAGCCCATTTCTGGTGTCCCCCGTCGTGATATTGCCGGAATAATGCTAAAAACAGCGTAAAACTAAACTCACTCACTCATGTATTGAAACTGGTGCAATGTGCTATTGACTGTCTTCACTTTCGTCCTTTACTGAAGTCAAATCTGACCTAGAGACCTATCCGTTACTTAATTACTCATTAGTTGCATGATCCTTCAGCATGTTATGGCCTTACTACTTTATTGTTTCGTAGATGCAATTACAAAAGTTGGTCGATCAAGGTTAAGACATTCAAGGCCTCAGAATCAGATATGACCCATCGGTGACAAAATGTTGTCTGGTCCCGCTCCCTCGTGTCAACTGTTTTTCAGGTGCACAATTGGCTAGCCTCTGCGTGTGTTTATGACGAGTGCCACAGTTGGGCCGGATACGCTCACCTTCTCGTGAACACCTGGTGTCATCACTATTTCGATAGTGATTCATAAATACGGGCTCTGTCATCATCTGTCTCGTGATTTGGTAGAGATTTCCTTTAGATGTGGATAGGGTCTTGTTTGTTTTTTATGCTTCTATGTATAAGTCAGTATGACAATCTACGTTCTATTATAAGTCAGTATGACAATCTACGTTCCATTATAAGTCAGTATGACAATCTACGTTCCATTGTAAGTCAGTATGACAATCTACGTTTTATTATAAGTCAGTATGACAATCTACGTTCCATTATAAGTCAGTATGACAATCTACGTTCCATTATAAGTCAGTATGACAATCTACGTTCCATTATAAGTAATGAAAAGTACAAGTGTGTTTTGATCGTTTAACAAAACACTTGGTGATATTCTAGATACATCACACGGTATATAAATACTCAAGTCTAGACCACACAATCCAGTGACTGACTTAATGAATATGTATCTCCCACGTCTGACACCATGACAACAAAAGTTAACATGACAACAAGCGCTAGAACCTACAGTTTCTTTAACAATAAAGATAGTGCATATTTATAATGCGTACATGTCCACGCTCGTAAGCATGTAAGGCGCTAACACATTATCACCCCGGATAACCCAAGCTGCCTGCGCATAAGGAAATTGCGTGGGATCAGTTACAAGTTATATACTGGTTTACAGATGTGTACGTGGTCGACATTTCAATCATGTAATTTGTGTTATTTAATGCAGGTTGTAAGACATGTTTACACGCAAAAAGAAGGCGGCGTCAAACCCTAAAGAGACGAAGAAACACAAGGGAGAGACGCTGTCTGACGGTAAAGGCACGAATACGCACAACGGAGCGACACCAAATGACGTCACAGATATGAAGACGCACAACAGAGAGACGTTGGCTGACGTTAAGGGCACGAAGACGCACAACAGAGAGACGTTGTCTCACAGAAGAGGAACAGAGACGGCCGAGGAGAAGCTGGCTCGCGCTGCACGGATCAAGGAACACAATGAGGAGACGCTAGCTAAAGCCACTCCGGGAGACATGCTGAAGTTTGACCGTGGAATCTACTGTCACTGGGCACTGTACATAGGTAGGGAGCGTCCCTGTATCGTCGCGACATCTCAATAATGTCATACACGATGTAGAACATAGGCTGCTATATACACCAATTATACGTTTGGAAATCGGCAATGAAATGGCTACAAACATCATTCCTAAAGTTAACGAGCTACCTTGGTTATTAAAGTAAATATCTTAGATGGGGCCATAATGCGACAACGCGACATATTTTGACCTTGACCTTTGTTTGAATAAAAAAAAATATTTGTCACAGCGCGACAATGCGACAAATGGCCGAAATGTCACGTTGTCGCATTGCTGCACTTTGGTTAATTGTGCTTAGTTTTGTGAGGGCGACAACGCGACAATGTCCCTTCCAGGAATCCATAATAACCCCATATGACAGACTAGGGGATATATTATTGGCGGTCAGGTTTGGTCACGTTGTTCATTGTCACCGTGCCCTTCGTTGGACGTTGCTCTTAATATCAACCACCGGATAAGTACTGGAGCCTATTAAAATTGGATGAATATTTCTGGGTACATTGGCCTGGGTAGTAAATCACCGAAAGCGTCTGTGATATAGTAAACTATCTGATATGAAGTACAGACTTGGTCAATGTGGATTTGAGTTTGAAAGGTGCTTTGCAGCAAGAACATTGACAGCGACCATTTTATCTGCAAGACGTCAGTACAGTCAATTACAGCTGTCCCGAAGAAATAGCTGGGTCCCTGCCTATTCCATTTTCTTGTGTCAAACCTGATAATTCGAAGAATTTACGTAGATCCATTCAACTTCGACACAACAGCGTTAAATGTATTTTTGTGGAACATAAAGGTTTACCCTTATTAATATTATAAATGATTATTAGATTTATTTTTCCTCTATTTATTACCTACGAGAGCGAACATATCGGGGTTCATATTTTTCATACGATGCCCTATAGGGCAAAAAATCACATTGTCATGATGACGTGACGTCATATACAATGCTATGACGTCACGTTTCTTCTGTAACGTTGCATTCTACATGCGTCGACGGCGGGTAGTCAGCCTATGTTTGAAAGTAGATTTGGGTTTATTTTCCTCAATTTGATGACTTTGGTAATAAACAGAATATTATATTCGTGCCGATGTCATACTATTTGTATGACACTCGTGCCTAAATATCGGTATATCCCTCGCTCTCGCTCGGTAAATACCAACATTTAGGCACTTGTGTCGTAAACATAGTATGACATCGGCACGAATATAATATCCTCTATTTATTCATATCTTTCGCGATTTTCTGTTGCCTTTCTTGTTTAAAACAAAGAAGAGGAGAGTTACCTGTGCTGTGAGACACTGGCCTGCCTTGTCCCAACCCGATCGTTTGCTTGCCTTCCTGTTACAGCGAGAACATTGTTCACTGGGGCAATCATTCAGCCATTTTGTTTGACCTTTGAAGGTGAAGGTCGTGTCATTCACCTTGCGGGAAGCGAAGGAGACATGAACGACAACGTCAGTGACGTCAAGGTCCGAGAGGACGGCTTCTGGAAGGTTGCTGAAGGTGATATGGTTGACGTCAGCAACGACAAAGACGACAGATGGAAGTAAGTCCATGTCCCCTTATATACAGTTGTAGACATTTAGATCTGTCAATGAAGGCTTCCTCGTGTGTCTGCAAACCCGTGAAGATCGGGTTAGAATTTGTCTTTAGGAGACCATACTTGAAAGAGGCGACTAACGGGATCGGGTAGTCGTCTTGCTGACTTGGTTGACACAAGTTCTCGTATCCAAATCCGTAGATCAATGTTGATTTTGTTGATCACTGGATTGTCCGATCCACACTCGATTGTTTACAGACTGCCACCATATTGCTGGAATATTGCTGAGTGCGGCGTCAAGCAACACCGAACCTACCAACCAATCATTACTTACAAGCAACATTGCTGAATACCCCCATAGCATAAACCAACATTCACCCAGGACAACAAACCTTTATCATGTTTGGCTTCATGATTCTTTACTTTTCTGGTTCTAGTGTCAACAAATGAACAAACAAAAACATCACATGTCAACATTAGGCGGTGCGACCGACGATCAGGGTTAAATACATGTATGTCTGTAAATGTGAGCTTGAGTCACTCACTGGCAATGCATTTAACGACAATAGAATATAGTGACGTGTCTTCAGTAAGCGAACACTAAATCCGGCGAGCCTGTCCTACAGTCAACTCCTTTCTCCTATTTTTCACCAATATATTTCACCCATCTTTTTCATCATTCTTCCGTTCTCAGTTATTCTTCTCCAACATTGTCATTGAGCAATATTGCCATTGAGCAATATCTTTTGGAAATAGGGGCTCTATAAATCAATTATTATTATTAATATTCCACTTCTTCTCTTTGTATTCCCCATATCTTCTTCATTAATCTTTTTTCCTTTTCTTTGCTTTATACATTTTTCTTACCTTCTCTTGACCTAAATCGGAGCCGAGGGGTAGCCTAGTGGTTAAAGCGTTCGCTCGTCACGCCGAAGACGTGTACAATGTGTGAAGCCCATGTCTGGTGTCCTCCGCCGTGTTATCTATTGAATATTGATAAAACCACTCACTCACTCTGAATGTCTCCTTTTACAGTCCTTACCCCCCTGACGAAATCGTGGAGAGGGCCAACTCGAGGCTTGGCCGGGCCGGCTACAATCTGGTCCTGTACAACTGCGAACACTTTACCTCTTGGTGCCGGTATGGGAAGAGCCAGAGCGATCAGGTAATTGTCATAGTAACAGGTTACATCGCCATCAGGATAAAATCTCCAGTGAGTGAGTGAGTTTAGGTTTGCGCCGCACTCAGCAATATTCCAGCTTTATGGCGGCGGTCTGAAAATATTCGAGACTGGACCAGACAATCCAGTGATCAATAGCATCGATCTACGAAATTGGGATACGATGATATGTGTCAACCAAGTCAGCGAGCCTGACCCCTGATCCCATTAATCACCTCTTATGACAATCATGGGTTACTGATGATCAATTCTAATCCGGATCTTCACGGGAAAAAATTCTAGTGTTAAGTAATCTGGGTTAGAATTGATCTTCAGGAACCCCGGGTCCCCGGGTGTCGTAGGAGGCGAAGCACCTGTTTCCACGCACTTGTGCGTGCTCAAAGCGCTAACACATTATTACCCTGGACAACCCAAGCTGCCAGTCAGGCGCTAGAAGGTCAAATGACTTATCCCACCGGGTACCCATTCACTGCAGGGTGAACAGAGGCAATTCATGAACAAAACTCACTTGCCTAAGGTGAGACCTCATGTGTCACATGTGCTTCGTTGTGGGGCAGGACTGAAGTCCTAGAAACTCTCAGGGGTCAAGCTGCCAAGCACGGTCACCCATCCAAGGACTGTCCGCGCCCGACGCTGCTTAACTTCAACTGCTATGTGAATTGAGCTCCATGCACAGGACCACCCACCACCTGGTTGATGTCAATGTATCCCGATTCCGTAGATCGATACAATTGAGTTTTACGTACTTGATTGGTTTTGCAGATCACAATTTATTCCAAACGTCCAACTGTAATATTTGTTATGTATTTGTAAAGCTTTGTGTCAGCAGTCGTATACAAAGACTGAAGAAGCATCACAATCAAACAATGATGATGCCAAGGGCTCCTGAGGTCAGCGTAACCTGCTTCACCAGTTGTATCAGTCATAAACACATGCAAGGGCCAGTCAATTGTTCAATGAAAAGTGGAAATAGGGGACCACAGCTGTCACTTATGCGTCAAGTTTGGAAAGGTCCTCCACATGTGTTCTGTTTTAATCACTCACCACACTCCTTTACCTGAAGATGCTGTTGTTGATGTCGCTGGTGTTGTTGTTCATGTTGCTGATAATGTTGTTGTTGATGATGTTGACGTTGTTGATGATGTTGATGTTGTTGTTGATGTTGACGTCTCGGCACAGGTTGACCGAGTCGCTGCTGCTGGGTCAGAACTGTTCGGAGGAGGAGTGATGCAGATATATGACATCTTTAAAGGTTTGGTGAACCCAAGCTAGCGTGGAGGCTGAGTGTATTATGATGTACAACTGACGACGAGGTAGTGTTTCATTCGAGACCAACTCGTGTTATTCCGGACGAGCCGTCTTCTTGGAGGTTACGGAAAGGGGCGAGTGGTGACGAATGTCTTTGTGACTGTGATGAATCCACGGATGAACTGTTTTCGTTTGCAATATTGTGACCATTGCAGTGACTGTGGATATTCTTTTAACATTTTATGTACAAAATCGCTGATCCCCCTAGTTCATATGTACAAAATTGATGCCCCCACCCTCCTTCCTAGAACAAAATGGATGACACCCCTTAAAATCATCATCTCACTCCCCCCGACCTGTGGCCCCTGCCTCTCTCCTCTCTCTCTCTCTCCTCTCTCTCTCTCTCTCTCTCTCTCTCTCTCTCTCTCTCTCTCTCTCTCTCTCTCTCTCTCTCTCTCTCTTTCTCTCCCGCTCTAACTGTAATAAAGACGATTTATCTATATGATCTCTATATATTGTTGTCCTTCCTTACTGCTCCAACTGCTAAATACCTTACTTACTTACTACTGACCACAAAACGACTGCAGGTCATAACCAGTGGAATATTTGTCAGGTAACAGATGGACTTTCTAACATTGCTATACAAATTTGTAAATGGTGGCTTTGTGTTCTATTTCACATACACTAACAGTATTTACTTACTTTACATGAGAAGGAAAATACGGTTATAACGAACAGGCTTGTAACGAACTGACAGATATGACAAACTGATATAAAGAACTGACAGATATAAATACATGGTGGATATTAATAAATGACGGATATAACGAACTGACATATAAAGAACTGACAGATATGACAAACTGATATAAAGAACTGACAGATATAAAGAAATGGCGGATATAAATAAATGACGGATATAACGAACTGACAGATATAACGGACTGACAGATATAAAGAACGGACAGATATAAGAATGACAGATATAAAGAACGAACTGACGGATGTAACGAACTGACAGATATAAAGAACGGACAGATATAAGAATGACAGATATAAAGAACGAACTGACGGATGTAACGAACTGACAGATATAAAGAACGGACAGATATAAGAATGACAGATATAAAGAACGAACTGACGGATGTAACGAACTGACAGATATGAAGAACGGACAGATATAAAGAACGGACATATAAAGAATGACAGATATAAAAAACTGACGGATGTAACGAACTGACAGATATAAAGAACGGACAGATATAAGAATGACAGATATAAAGAACGAACTGACGGATATAACGAACTGACAGATATGAAGGACTGACAGATATAATGCAATGGCGGATATAAAGAATTGACGGATATAATGACCTGACGGATATAACGAACTGGTATATTCGTCCCGGACACTTGTATACTTTAGTCGAAAAATCCATTTCAATTCGTAATAACGGTAGTTTAGTTATTGTATAGGCAGACATTAGAAGTAATTTCCTACAGTGAATTATATTATGTAACATGACCGAATAAAAGTGATTCCCACTTTATGTGTTTCCGTGGCCAAATCTCAGCAGTGTGGATTTTACACTAAGGATGTTTGGGAAATTCAGTAACTATCTTCCTCCTTCGGGAGGTTGAGAGGAAGTTCCGAACGAAGGAAAACGATCAGTGAGATGGGGAGGCGGCTGGTGCCCTTGGTGACGAACACAACAGAAATAGGTTGAAATTTTGGTTGAATGTTGAGATCAAAATTATTTATTTCAATCAAACTATTTTGAACATTGTCGCTTGCTCACTCACTCACTTACAGGGCCACCTACTCACTCACTCACTTACAGGGCCACCTACTCACTCACTCACTTACAGAGCCACCTACTCACTCACAGGTCCACCTACTCACTCACTCACTTACAGGGCCACCTACTCACTCACTTACAGGGCCACCTACTCACTCACTCACTTACAGGGCCAACCACTCACTCACTTACAGGGCCACCTACTCACTCACTCACTTACAGGTCCACCTACTCACTCACTTACAGGGCCGCCTACTCACTCACTTACAGGGCCACCTACTCACTCACTCACAGGGCCAACCACTCACTCACTTACAGGGCCACCTACTCACTCACTTACAGGGCCACCTACTCACTCACTCACTTACAGGGCCACCTACTCACTCACAGGGCCACCTACTCACTCACTCACTTACAGGTCCACCTACTCACTCACTTACAGGGCCACCTACTCACTCGATTACAGGGCCACCTACTCACTCACTCACTTACAGGTCCACCTACTCACTCACTCACAGGGCCACCTACTCACTCACTCACTTACAGGGCCACTTACTCACTTACAGGGCCACCTACTCACTCACTCACTTACAGGGCCACCTACTCACTCACTTCCTGAACCATCGACTCACTCACTTTTCACTCAGTCAGATACCCATTTACGGAACCAGTCACTCACTCACCAAACCACAAACGCACACATCGAACCACATACTCAGTCACTTACTCATTCACTTTCTCACTGATAAACCGGGACCACTCACAGTCTCACTCATTGACATCCCTCACAGAAGCACCCATTATCAAACTCACTCACATATTCACCTATTTACCCACTCATAGAACAACCGACTCACCCATTCACTGAACCACCGACTCACCTGTTCACTGAACCACTGTCTAACCCTCTCACAGAGCCATCGACTCACCGAGTCACTGAACTATCCACCCACCCATCACTGAACCATCGACCCACTCAGTCACTGAACCATCAACTCACCCCATCACTGAACCATCGACTCACCAAGTCACTGAACCATCCACCCATCCACTCACTGAACCATCGACTCACCCAGTTACTGAACCATCGACTAACCCATCACTGAACCATCGACTCACCCAGTTACTGAACCATCGACTCACCCATCACTGAACCATCAACTCGCCCCATCACTGAACCATCGACTCACCCAGTCACTGAACCATCGACCCACCCATCACTGAACCATCGACTCACCCCATCACTGAACCATCGACTCACCCCATCACTGAACCATCGACTCACCCCATCACTGAACCATCGACTAACCCATCACTGAACCATCGA